AAAGTTCATGCTTTAACTAGATTAATTATAATTGCAGTACAAAAATTCTCTTTAAAAAAGTGTTAAACAAGTTTCCTATTGAAATTATCTAGCTTAGCCTTAGTTTACTATTATGTTTTAATACGGATTTACTAGTAATGACACTTTCTTTATTCATAGAAATGAATAATAACTTGAACAGTGCTTCTCAGTTTAAAGATGCTGTCACATGTATTTTCTCATTTTTATCCCAACAACTGGAATAATAAAGAGCTAGAAATATCAACTAATTATAACAATAGATGCACTACCATGCATGAGTGGTTTTGTATATTTTTCAATAGTTCTTGAATATATAGTAAGTCATACTTGGGGAAATAAACCAACACACCAAAGTGAAGAGTATACAAATGTCCTAAATTTAATGTACATATCTTTTAAAGTATATTTATTAAATTCTATTACTTTTCTTGAAATAATCTTTAAGAATTTTTTTTTTTTTTGAGACGGAGTCTCACTCTGTCGCCCAGGCTGGAGTGCAGTGGTGCTATCTCAGCTCACTGCAAGCTCCGCCTCCCGGGTTCACGCCATTCTCCTGCCTCAGTCTCCCAAGTAGCTGGGACTACAGGCGTCTGCCATCACGCCCGGCTAATTTTTTGTATTTTTAGTACAGCAGGGTTTCACCGTGTTGGCCAGGATGGTCTTGATCTTCTGACCTCGTGATCTGCCTGCCTCGGCCTCCCAAAGTGCTGGGATTACAGGCGTGAGCCACCATGCCTGGCCTAACAAAATTTTTAAAGATGATCATCATTTCTGTTGATTTTTCTTAAGAATTCATAAAATACATCAATACTGTGGCTTCTTGGTTAATATTTTGTTACCCTTCTCCTTTTTCTTTGCTAGTAAGTTCTTAAATTTTAGATTTTAAGATAGTGGATAGGGCTGAGTTCTGGCAAAATTTAAGATATAGGTAACCACAATGACAATATAATAAGCCATTCAAAATTGAGCATTACTTTTTTTGAGATGAGGTCTCGCTTTGTTGCTCTGGCTGATCTTCACACCCCTGGATTCAAGCAATCCTCTCAGCCTCCAGAGTAGCTAGGACTACAGAACTGTGCCTCTGCACTTGGCTACTTAATTTTTGTAACGGAGGAAATAAGGCTGTTCTTTCTGTAATAATAGCTAGCATATGGTAGAACATATTTAGTACTATTTGAATTCTATTTTGTAAGATGTTATCAGAAAATGGGATTCAAATAAAAATAAATGGAGTGATAAACAACATGTCAGTAATGTAAGCAGAATAATACAAAGCAAAGATGGAAACGGATGACAAGACATCTTAATTTCTTCACAAAAGTCATTAAAACTACTTCACTGTCCTCCTTCCCTCCAGGGCCCTCAAGACATACATCAGGTTTTTCATTGTAAAAGTTTGGGATATCCAGAAAAGTATAAAAAATATATATTTATTGGTCTTAATTATCTCAATTCTATCATATGGAGATAATCATTGTTAACATTTTAGTTTGTAGCCCCCCATCTATTTTATATATATGTACAATTATATCTATATTATGTATAAATTATACTGTATATGTGAAATTAGGATTATATTGTATTGTATTTGTATTTGGTACTTGTTTTGGTCATTACATATCCACATTTTCCTCTATCATCAATTAGTCTTCTAAAATAACAAACGTGTGGTTTTTGGGAGTGGGTAGGAAGACTGTCAAAATATATTCACAACCATGTAAATGATAATAATAGATATGATCACTTAAAAAAATCAATATATCTGTAAGAAAATTAGTATGCACATGAGATAGTTGGCTAATTAACAAATACATCAGCTCCTTATTAATATATACTTTAAAAAACTTTTCTTAGGCCAAGTGCAGCAGCTCAAGCCTGTAATCCCAGCACTTTGGGAGGCCAAGGTGGGTGGTCAGGAGTTGAGGTCAGGAATTCGAGACCAGCCTGGCCAACATGGTGAAACCCAGTCTCTACTAAGAACAATTAGCCAGGTGTGGTGGCGTGTGTGTATAATCCCAACTACTCAGGAGGCTGGCACAGGGGAATTACTTGAACCTGCACCACTGCACTGCAGCCTGCATAACAGAGTGAGACTCCATCTCAAAAAAGAAAAAAAAAAATCTTAAATTACAAGTGTTACTTTGCTCTTTACATTGCATAGTCAAATTGTCCTATGAAAATACCTCTAACACTTTGGTATATATTCTTCTATTTATAATGTGATTTTCAATTATCTAAATAGCATCTTACCATATAAATTCATAATTTAATCAATCCCCTTTCATTAGACATTTATTTACTATATTTTATTATCAACAAATGAACATAAATCTTGTTCTTCGACAAAATCACGCTAAATTTATTATACCCTATTCTTGTATACATATATATATCATTACTGAGGATTCATGAATTTCAAATCTTAACTTCTTTGGACTTCAGTTTTCTTATCTGTAAAATTAGAGAGTTGGTTCAGAGTTCTAATTATGCTCCCTTTCTTTTAAAAAAAAAATACTATAAAGAGTTTTCATGTGGAGAGGGCATACACAGAATCATACAGAGGAATTCTGTTTCTGAAATACCTGTTTTACATCAAAATTTGGGGACAAAGTTTGCTTTTTTCCCTGTTAAATAAAGCCTTTGGGGGAAAATCATTATTTCTGAGTGTGCTGCTTTGATCTCTGCCTCCAGAAATCGGGATTTATTTCCCACTGCCATTAGGATGCAAGATCCTGATTAAGAAAACTTACTAAGTTTAAGAATTTTAATTTAAGAACTGGTCTTACATTCTTAAACAGGATATTTAAAGTTGCCTTTTGCCTTGGAATCTAAATACACACATTCCACTCTTTTCACTGTTTCACTCCAGAACTTGTTATTGGTTAAAGTTTGTTTGGTTTTACTAACTCTTTTCTTTTTCTTTTTCTTTTTTTTTTCTTTGAGATGGAATTTTGCTTTTGTTGCCCAGGCTGGAGTGCAGGGTGCAATCTTGGCTTGCTGCAACTTCCATCTCCCGGGGTTCAAGCGATTCTCCTGCCTCAGCCTCCCAAGTAGCTGGAGCTACAGGCATGCACCACCACGCCCGGCTAATTTTGTATTTTTAGTAGAGATGGGGTTTCACCATGCTGGCCAGGCTGGTCTCGAACTCCTCAAACTTGTATCTTACCAAAGTGTTCTTTTCCTCCAAGGAGATGATTGTAAAAGAGTTAAGAAGCTCTCGGATGTTTGCTCCCTTGTGGCACAGATTATGGCATTTCAAAATCCTAAATAAACTAGAAAGCACGTTTTTCCTACAAAAATTTATTTTTGCTGTTATGAGAGGCTGGAGTGCAGTGGCACGATCACCACTTACTGCAACCTCCTCCTTCCGGGTTCAAGCGCTTCTCCTGCCTCAGCCTCCCAAGTAGCTGGGATTACAAGCATGTGTCACCATGCCCAGCTAATTTTGTACTTTTAGCAGAGACGGGGTTTCACTGTCTTTGCCAGGATGGTCTCGATCTCCTGATCTCGTGATCCTCCCGCCTCTGCCTCCCAAAGTGCTGGGATTACAGGTGTGAGCCACTGCGCCTGATCCTATCTCACTTCTTTTGCAACTAGAAGGCCAAGTCCAGCCTTTATAAACATACCCACAGGAAATACTGACCACTGAGTATAGTAAATTTATATTTTTCGTTTATATTTCTCATTCACTTTACATGCAATGGATAGTTTTTAGTTTTACAATCATAAAAACGACCACAAATGCTCCGCATATGTTCACATTATCTTAACTTCTTTGGACTTCAGTTTTCTTATCTGTAAAATTAGAGAGTTGGTTCAGAGTTCTAATTATGCAAATTATACTGTATATGTGAAATTAGGATTATATTGTATTGTATTTGTATTTGGTACTTGTTTTGGTCATTACATATCCACATTTTCCTCTATC